GTTCAAATTTTCAACATACTTCTTAGTATCTGTCTATATTTGTGAGATGAGGTATTATATACATTATTTACATTATTTGGACTATTGTCCTCATCTTTGTCGCCATATTTATTACTGTGGCACCATGCATCCAGGCGATTTGAAAGAAAGAAAAAGAAGAAAGCGAAAAGGAAAAAGTAATGCGAGACGGATCATAGGCGAACACACACACACACGGCTTAAGAGGCAATAAAAAAGAAAAGGGTTATTTTGGATAAGTGGCAAATGCCGAAAAATATGTCATTACAATGACAATGAGATTGAGTGGGTAGGGAAGTGTTATCTAAACTATTGGTACGAGAAAACATCTTACTATCAAAATTAAAAGACCACCTGCGAGGAAGCATTGACCGATTTCCCCACTTGTCCGCGCGAATGGAATTGTGTTATCAAGAAATGTTCATCAAAGAAAGTCCACTTGAAAACGTTAGATTTTGATAATTGACAAAACACATGTGTAGCTTGGAGCCTTAGCTGGGTATGGAAAATTAAAATCCCACACAATTAGTCTCACTAGTTAAGCTCTTTTCGGCAAAACAGGCTTTTGCCCTGCGATAATAAAATTTTGTTATCAGACACATGAACCGAAGGAAAATGAAATGTTTTTATTGCTGCCTCGGAGACGTCAGACTGGCTGAGAACTTGAAGAAAATTCCTTTCTTAGACCATGTCGGAAAATCCATCCGTCTGATGCATTACCGATAAACTGCTTGACAAACGCCACGTGTTGAACAAAGAGTTGTCACGTTATCCGTTCATGATAACGGCGATTTGAGAGAAGGAGAGAGAGAAAGAGGAGAGATCATTAATTTTTTTTTAGTTAAACAATGTATTTCTTTTCCAAAACAAAGCCGCGGGTTGCTCACGCCCGACTAAGACGTCATTGGCCAAGTGGTGATCACATGACGCACGAAGGAGGAGGAAAGATACCCGACCAAGACCTCATTGGCCGAGAGTGGTCACGTGACGCACGAAGAAAACTGTCGACGCCCCCATCCAGAGTATAAGTATGAGAAGCCGCTACGAATAAGTGGGGAGGGCAGTTCACGCCCCTCAGAAGCATGGTGAGAAAGTGAGAGTGAGAAAAAAGTTACCAAAAATGGAAAAGAGTGGAAAATCCCTAACCAGAAATAAAAGAGGTGGATATGTATTTTGAATTATCGAGGAATTCCCCGACGCCAACAGACCCAACCCGGTTTTTGACGGCGTCAATAAAAACGAGGCCCCAACAGGCAGAAATCAGTTCAGTCGGACCCTGGTGGGCAGAAGAGAGTTCGTTCGGCACTGGCGGGCAGAAGACAGCTCGAGTCCCGGGCGGCAGAGATGAGTGCCCAGTAGTTCGTTTGGCCCTGAGTGCCGAGTTAGTTCGGACCTTGACGGGCAGAAGACGGTTCGTTCGGCCCTGGCGGGCAGAGTAGTACGGACCCTGGCGGGCAGAAGTTCAGTCCCGGACGGTAGAGATGAGTGCCCAGTAGTTCGTTTGGCTCTGAGTGCCGAGTTCGGTCGGACCCTGGCGGGCAGAAGACAGTTCGTTCAGCCCCGGACGGCGGAGATGATAGACCAAGATAGCTGACCAAGATTCACGCAAAATTTTGGACTCCTCTTCAACCAAGAACAATTATTTTGAAGAGCGACTTAGAACCAGACCACAGAAATAAGTTTTTCGACCTTCGCCCAAAGACACACCGAAACACAAATTTCTTAGAGAGCAAACAACTTGAAGCGTTAAAACTTGCCTAGCGAAAGCGACGTGTCACAATCCACAGAACGGGTCGGGAGATAGATGCAGTCCTATGTATCGAACAACTAGACATAAAGTTTGTTACTTTTTTTTTCTTTGATACTTTGAACTTTTTGAGTTTTCATTTTATTTTCTTTTATGCATATGTGTGTGTTATCACCCCCGTTGAACTCAGTTTTCATTACGGCCCCAACCCCTGTTTGATCTCGTCTGTCTAAGATCAATTCACAACGTGGGTAGGCAGACTGGAGATCAGTGCAGTTACCTTGGTAACCAGGCGTTGGAAGCGAGTTGGGAACGGCGAGGCTGATATCAAATCTAACCAGATTCCCACCCGAATCACCAAAAGGTTAGAACGTCACATTTGGGTGCCGCGACTGATACCAAGCCAGTTGGTCGTCACAGGACGAGACAACACGACTGACGCGACAGGCGGACGTCACGTTTGGAGCAGCGACACCCGGACGGAGCAGCGAGGAGCGAACAGCTGGCGCCGCGGCGAAGACGTCACAATTTGTGCTATTTAGGGACGTCACATCTGGTGTCGTGACCGGGATAGGACCCTGGAACGGCCACGTCACAACTGGCGCCGTGGTAGATCAGGATAGAACGTCACAGTTGGCGCTGCGACCGGGGGACGACGTCACATTACAACGTTTCGGCCATTGTACGCTCTGGCCTTCTTCAGGTGGTTGGAATATCGAACTGAACCCTTTATTACGCTCACTGGGGTAGACTGTTCTAGTTCCACGTGCCATGTTTAATGGATGTCAGTTATCAGTTATCTCCTGTTAATTTTCCCTCTGAAAGTTCTCCACTGCTTTAAGGACTGCTTTAATGGCACATTGGATGAAGACGTTGGTTAGATCCAGTGACAGGACCCAAAGAGTGTGAGTTCAATACTCGGTTAAGGCAGTGAAGAACTTGGAGAGGGAATTAACAAGGAGATAACTAATAACTGACATCCATTAAATATGGCACGTGGAACTAGAACAGTCTACCTCAGTGAGCGAAATAAATGGTTCAGTTCGACATTCCAACCACCTGAAGAAGGCCGGAGCGTACAACGGCCGAAACGTTGTAATAAATATGGCGACAAAGATGAGGACAATAGTCCGAATAATGTAAATAATATACTTCTTAGTGTTCTAGTGCAGACCCCAGCAACGCCTTAGTCTGTATAATCTTAACTCTCACTTGGGTTGCGCATTAATCTAATCACGATACCGGTGAATTTTGTACTGCTTCAAACAAGTGTGTCTGCTATTACTGGAACTATGTGCTTCATTAACCATATCATTCTCAGACCACGGATCCGGAAGTGAGTTCCACAAGTGAGAAGAGCGAGAAAAGAAACTGTTACCATAGAAATTACGATTTCATTTTGCCATTTCAACTGCAAAATGATGAGAACTTGCCTCCAATCTAGATATGTTTCATTGAAGATGACTGAGAAAGCACCGCGATTAGGCTTTTTTTATTATATTTATTTGTATTCATACAAAAGATTTCTTTTCCAGGAAATAGTTTGTGTAAAAACTGTCCAAATGATTTTGGATCAGAGCGCCTTCGGCTAATATATTAGTCATTATCAAGGATATGATCTATTTTTTTTTTTTGCTTGTTTATCAACATATATTGGCAGTTCAAACATTTCTGAACGAGTTATAAAAAGGTTTTAAGAATTCAGTAAATTTTTTAAAATGCATATATCAATGATGTAAGCACAGAGGAGGCACGGTGAATAACGGCTCGGATTGAGGAATTGGAGAGCCGAGTTCGAATTCCAGTCGAATCCATTACATTAACTTACTTGCTAATACCCTTGGGAAAGGTATGAATCCTCTTCTTCTCTCCCCAGCTATCGGTAAATATCAGGACAAACAGAGTTCCATAGCTTTGGATGGCAACGGGTCTACCGCAAAAAAAAGGTAAACTACTGCGTGAAAAAATCTGTCACGCCAGTCATGTATCGAGAGATACATGATCGCCTAAGCGTGTATCACGCATGACACATAAATGACTGAAGCACAGTTCAAAACAAGACGTTTGTAAATAACATTACAGTTCAGATACCTCTTTAAATTTCAAAGATCGATTTGTAATTGCATTTGCATTATGAACAGTAATTTTCTAAATCGATAAAAAAAATTCAATATTTTTCAATACTGGCAAATGTCATTTCTCCCAGAAAATCTAATAAATGCTAATCTACAAGAATGGTCCCCTATTTTTTAAGTAGTACCCAATATATTAGGTTGTCCCAAAAGTTCGTAAAAACTTGCAAAAAATTGAAATTTTACTCGCCAAGTAATAACAAAAACAACAAAAATTATTCCTCAAAATAAAGACCATCATTTTCCAAGACTTTCTGCCATCGATCTGCAAGCTTTCGGATCTGGTGAAAGTACCATTCAGCCGGCTTCGAATCAAAGAATTCTTGACACACTTCCTCAACTTCATCAAACGAGTCGAATCGGCGGCCGTTCAGTAAGTGTAGCATTGAGCGGAAAAGGCCGTAATCTGATGGAGCACAGTCAGGACTGTAGGCTGGATGTGGCAGAACCTCAACGCCGTCCAGCTCTTCAAACTTGTCTTTGGTCTTCCTGGTGGTGTGTGGCTTGGCATTGTCCTGCTGCATCAAAGCGCGCTTTCGGTTGATCAGAGCCGGGTACTTTTGCTTCAACTTTTCGTAGACCCGCTCCAGTTGCTGACAGTAAAGTTCGGCAACGATGGCACGACCATTCGGAACCAACTCAAAATGCACGATTCCTTCAAAGTTCCACCAAACGCACAACATGACTTTCTTGCCGAATCGATCTTATTTTGGAACTGACGGTGTCTCTTGCCCTTTCTGAACCCATCGCTTGTCTCGATTGTGCTGGATTGTGTTGCATAAAAATTCAATTTTTCGCAAGTGTTTACGAACTTTTGGGACAACCTAATAATAGTGGATATTGCTATTGTTCGCATTTGGATTCAGAAATTCTGTATCTAATTTTATACCTGCAGTCACGTATAGTTCGTTACTTATTCCCTGCAGAGTGACATACTAACGAGGATGACACAGAAAACCAATAAAACATTACCGTATTTGATGGGACATAAAACCCGCACAATTTACATTACATACAACATTATTATAGACATCGGCTACAGACAATATACTGGTAGTCTACGATGTCTGGGTATACATTAACCTGACAGATACCTTAAGGCTTACGGTCGCATCACGTTGAAACACCTGTTCCTGTAAGATTCCAGAAGTTAATCAACGTCAGCCTAGGTCAGTACCTATATGGGTGACCGTTTGGGAATACCAGGTGATGTAAACTTGGATTTTCGGGTAGTGTAATGGATAATGGCTCGGAATTGTTAATCGGAGAGCCGAACTCCGATACATGTTGGCTCGTTATATCGATTTCCCGGATTGTTGGATGTTAATAAAACTACCGTGGCCACAAAGTAAGTGATAAGTTTATATACTAATTGCGATATATAATTAATCCCCCACTTTATATCCATATTATAATTTTATGAGTTTATCAAATTCTGATTATATATGAATTCACCTCTTCTCCCGACTTCTGTGTGTTCATAAAACTACCGTGGCCAAAAATAAGTGATCAGTTTTTATGCAAATTGTAATATATAATTGATCCCCCACTTTATATCCATATTATAATTTCATGTGTTTACTAAATTCTGATTAGATATGACGTCACCTCTTCCCACTACAGCTGTGCGTTAATAAAACTACCGTGGCCACAAAGTAAGTGATCAGTTTATATACTAATTGTAATATATAATTGAAACCCCACTTAATACAGTGTAACCCAGATATAAGAGAGTTGTCGGGACCGGAGAAGTCTCTTATATCCGAGTTTCTCTTATATCCGGGTTTGGTCTATTTTATATACATTAACACAGGCTCTAATTTGGGACCAGAGAAAATCTCTCTTATATCCGGGTTTCTCTTATATCCGGGTCTCTTATATCCGGGTTACACTGTATCCATATTATAATTTTATGTGTTTATCAAATTCTGAGTAGGTATAAATTCACCTCTTCCGCGACAGCTCTGTGTTAATTAGTAAGAATTTTATCAATAAACCATTAACATATTCTTTTCTTACAAAAAATAACCAGTAAATGCTTTATAAGCCGTAGAAAACGGAACAATCTTATCTAAACGGATTATCTCAATCCTTATTTTAACCCAATTTGGATGGTAATAAAGCGGATGATATACCTGTTGTTTTCCTCCCTCGTGTTCCCACTTTTTAAAACTTATTCACCATTTTCTTGATGGTTCTTGAATGGACTTTGAAGATAAAAACTAGATAATGAATGTTAGTACCATTACCGAAGACCCTAATTACCTTTTTCCTCTGACCATTGCTCAGTTGGGAAGACACACTGGGGCTGACACCAAACAATTTTAACCTGTTCTCTTTCTAGCTGAATAACACAATGTGTTCTTCGGTGATTCTTACGACAAAGATGGCTAAATAATCTTATCTGAAAATCTAAAAAAAAAAAAAATATAGAAATTCAATTACTTTAGTGTTTTTTTTGTTTTTTGTTTTTTTTTTAGATATTAAACATTTTGTGGGATGGACAATTATCCCATGTCGTTACACCAAATAGATAGATAGATAGATAGATAGATAGATAGATAGATAGATAGATATCAAACATCAAAGACAACACATGGCGCTGAAAGAGATGCAAGAAATGGGGCTTGTGATGAACTTTCTAAAACAGAATGACGAATCAGGGATTAGAATGAGAATGGTGTTGGCAGATATCTTTTAATCCATCATAAAATTCAGAATGTGGCATTAATAAATTTTAAATACTTCATAAACCTCGGTGTATGGATTATTTGTGAGAGATTTTGTATGTGTTAGATAAAAATATATAAGATACACAAATAATAATAAAAAAATAATAATAATAATAATAATAATAATAATAATAATAATAATACATATAAAATGTATGATCTTAGCTTTTGTTTTTTTTTACAAATATGATCAGTGGAAAATGTCATAAAGCAATTTTTGATCTTAGGTAGTATAGTCATTGATTACGGACTAGTAATGGTTGTCTACAATCTCTGCGGACACATTAGCCTACGAAAAGCCACAACTTCTTATGTAAGATCCCGAGATATTTTAACTAATTTTTGGATGATAAAAACGTGGATGATATATGCCATCAAAGACAATACATGACGCTGAAAATATTCTAAGAAGTAGGAGTCATGATGAAACTTTCGAAAAAGGAAAGATTTGGAAGGGGAATGATAATCGTGGTGGCACATATCCTGACTCCATCATAAATATTCAAAATGTGACATTAATAAATTCTAAATAATTCATAAACCTCGGTGTATGGACTAGCTGTGAAATATTTTGCATATCTTAGATATGGGAACATAACATACACAAATGACGATAAAAATAATATATTTAAATTGTGTCTACATAGGTTTTATTTTCTTTTTGTTTTTTGTTTTTTTTACAACAATGATCAGTGGAAAATAAGCCATTTCTGACCTTAGGTCTCTCGTTGGGATCCGGAAATAAATGTTTATACAATAGAAATCCAATGAAATAATAATAATAATAATAATAATAATAATAATAATAATAATAATAATCTCTATCTATAAAGGGAAGGATGTCTGTCTATAAAGTGTGTGTGTGTGTGTGTGTGTGTGTGTGTGTGTGTGTGTGTGTGTGTGTGTAACAAATGCACGGCCGCAATTTTCGACGGATTTGCACCAAAAGTTACATGCACATGCTCCAAGTTAGCCGAAAGGCTAAGACCGACTTCGCATTTCCCAACTCCCATCGATAGTGGAAATAATCGACTTTTTCATGCTTCTACGGCAGTTTTCCTGTGGTTTGCGGCCATTTTCTACTGGCCAGAGTGAGAGCCAATAGCTGGCTGCCACGAATAGGCAGGAAGATTCTATTGGCCAGCGTGAGAGCCAACAGCTGTCTGACACGAATGTTAATTAGCATGCTAGCACGCAAAATAATCGATACCTGCATTTGTCAAAAGTGTTAAAAATTTAAATCTGCATGTCACTTTACTCCAATTGGTTCATTCGCTTGCTTAAACTCAACGTTGATTCTGATTCCACAGAACTAGGTTGGGTGTGAAAAAGTATTTGTTGTTAACATTCTTTTTTCATTCGGTTTTTCCAGTTACGAGTCCTTTTTTTAAAGCTGATCGTTTTGTGTTCATTTTGTTTAGTTCTTTTTTCGTAACAGATTTAATATTTAGTATAGAGCTTAGAAAAAATTGGCAGTGTGAGATAGGCAAGAAGTAAGGCATGTAGCAACATCAGCACGGAAAAGGGCACTCCTTTAAGTGCAAAAATATTTTAAGTCAAATGATAGCGATTGCTGTATGAGTCGTGCGATTTTTGAATCAAGCACAGGCAACGTCGGGCCATGCTGCTAGTAATGTAGTATAGACATCGGTTACGGACGAGTACTGGTAGTCTACAACGTCTATGTACACATTAGCTTACCAAATGCTTCAACTTCTTATGTAAGATCCGAAAATATTTGAACTAATTTTTTAGATTCTAAGACGTGGATGATATATGCCATCAAAGACAATACATGACGCTGAAAATATTCTAAGTAGGACTCATGATGAAACTTTCGAAAAAGGAATGATTTGGAATCAAAATGACAATAGTGCCATATATCCTGAATCCATTATAAAAATTCAAAATGTGGAATTAACAAGTTCTAAATACGGCAAATACGGCGTGTTGACTCGTTCCAAGACATTTACTTTGAGAAAAGAGGAAACTGGACACATTACACAAGGGTTACTTTTGCCCAACACACTATGGTGCTACAAAAACAAGATATTAACCTGAGAACTCGAGTTACGTCCTTAAACATCGACGTCAAACCGAGACTGATAAGAATGTCATGGATGACGTCCAACTTGTCCCAAGATGTCTAATCTATCATCCATATGCAACCGTTTTCTCAACGATTAAAAATGGTTTCAAGCTAGTGAACTCTTCCAGTCTTAAAGAAGACAAAACTTCATCAGACTCATTAGACTGGCGCTATATAATCGTAAAATAAATTTAACAATTAACAACAGCCATATCAATTGAAGTGTTTGCACAGGATGAAATATAAATGGGTTGCTAAAAGAGAAAATAAGGCTGCATTCAAAATGTTAATAATAATAATAATAATAATAATAATAATAATAATAATAATAATAATCTCGTAGTACAGACATTGGTTACGGACGAGTACTGGATGTCTACAACGTCTGTGAACACATTAGCCTACCAGATGCCACAATTTCTAAAGATCTGGAGATATTTTAAATAATTTTGGATGGTAAAAACGTGCATTATATATGCCATCAAAGACAGTAAATGGCACTGAAAGTATTCCAAGAAGTAGAAGTCATGTTGAAACTTTCTAAAAAAAAAGATTTGGAATTGGAATGAAATTCACAATATGGAATTAATAAATTCTAAATACTTCAAATACCTCGATGTAATGATTAGTTGCGAGGTATTTTATGTCTTTGATAAGGAAATTGAATGCAAAAAATTTTGCGTCGGAGGTAGTTTTATCCAACACAGTAAGATGTTCTTTTTTCGTAGGCGATCAAGACTCTCCACAACTTCCTGTACATTGTAGCTCTTAATAAAGTTTGTTATTTCCCCTAAGCCCTGTTCCGCCATCAATTCCCTCAAGCTCATTAAGTATGTTATACACTGACTTCCTCTGATCCTCTTGCCCTCTATCTGCCCCGTGAGTATCAGATTTTCCAAGCCCTCTGTCCTCATTATATGCCCTAGAAAATCCAACCGTCTCTTTCTGATGTTAAGTATGTTTCCTTTTTGTTTTCATTTTCACCAAAACCTCGATGTTACTCACATGTTTGGTTCACGGTATCCTCATCATCCTTCTGTAGAACCACATTTCTGTTGTTTCAAGTCTTCTTTTCATCGTCCAGCGGAACTTTCCTATTTCTCGGTACTCTGCTTAGCTTTTGGAATGCTTCCTTGGCTATCCCAATATGCCATGGGATCTTTCTGTCCACTGTTAAGACACTTCCCAGATATGTTGATTTCGGCACTTGTTTGATTTTGGTACCTCCGAATTGCAGGAATGGTAATATAGAAAAATCGTTACCAAAATTATCCTAAGGGACATATATTGATTCGTTAGAAAAGTTCTTTCGTTTTTATTGCCTTTAACGAAATATTTCGGTCGCTCTGATCAGTGTTATTCATTCTTTTTTGGCTTTCTATATTAGATATTGATTATTTCAGACAAGTTTACTCGTCTTTGGTAAAAGGCTTTGGTCGCTGAGTCTTCCAGGTAAATTTCTTTATGTGTTGTTTTGTTTGTGTGTGTGTGTGTGTTAGTCTTTTAAGCCCCTGCGCTTTCTAGCCGTCCTTGGGCATGAAGATTCATTCAGTAACATATAAACCTCCAACAGAACTTTTTTTTCACCCACTGTATGTGCGTTTCTCATTCCGTTAAACTATCTCACCCGATGTCTAATCAATAACGCGTGACCATTCGTTTTTTTCTGAGGCGAATTTTTGATCCGTTTTCCTCCGTATTATCATGTTCAAAGTTTGATCCCGCGGCTTTTCGGTAACAACAGCTTCATTTTTATCCGTTAGGTAGTGATTTTCTCAGATATATATATATATATATATATATATATATATATATATATATATATATATATATATATATTAAAAAATGGACAAGGTCCGACAATTTATTTATTAAAGACATTTTTATGTTTAACGTTGTTATTTTATAGATACAAGTATTTAAGCAAATGCTCTGTTTATGATAAACAGTATTAAATAACATTTACCGGCCTGAATGTCCGAGAAATTTTCATAAACAGAGCATTTGCTTAAATACTTGTATCTATAAAATAACAACGTTAAACATAAAAATGTCTTTAATAAATAAATTGTCGGACCTTGTCCATTTCTTAATATATGACGTCATTTGTTTACATTTGATACGCCAGAGCAGTTATGAATGTACGAGATTCATTGAAGATTGAAGTTTATAAGCAGTAAATTCGACCTTGTCTACCGAACGGTTCTTTGTAGCCCAGAGGTAAGGCACGTCAGCGTATATGACGGTTCCGTATAGGATGCAGGTTCGAATCCTGTCAAAGAACGAATATTTTCTATGAAAATTTCTCGGACATTCAGGCTGGTAAATGTTATTTAATACTGTTTATCATAAACAGAGCATTTGCTTAAATACTTGTATCTATAAAATAAAAACGTTAAACATAAAAATGTCTTTAATATATATATATATATATAATCTACATTCAACATCATCACTTGATATATATATACAATCCACATTCAACATCATCACTTGATAAGACACCACAGGTATTGAAACAAAATGGCTAATTTTATAACATATTTATGTTATAATTTTTAAATAAATAATTACATTCGCACTCTCTGTATTGAGCACTCTTTTAAGAATAGTAATTGTTGGTTATTGGAATTTTTCCGTATATACTTGTCATATATTGTATATATATATATATATATATATATATATATACATTCTAATGTATTATTGATTGATTTATTCGGTTTCTACGTCTTATCAATCCTTTGTCGCATATTTAAAGTC